TTTTTTTTAAGTAAGTAAGTAAGATTTATTAGAGATAAATCAAGATCATAATACATATTATAATATGATTAAAATTATCATAAGAATATAATTGAATATATCATGGGTTTTATCACAAAATAAGATAAGGTTATATCATAGGAAGGTTAATTTTCTCTGCATTTAAGAAATAGCAGATTTTCTGTATTTCTCCGTTCTAGTATAGTTGACAGTAAATAGTTCAGCGTTCCGTAGCTGGTGGTTGTGAGTGACTGGTTCTACCGGGAATAGGGCAGAATGCCTTTGAGATTTTGGACGTTTTTTAGCAAAGGATAAACAAAGTTTCTCTCTCCTAATCCTTATGATTTCTAGTTCCTGAACGGATAGAGAAGTTTACTGGTTAAAATATCCCCTCACAATACGTTTCCTGCCACAAAACAGGAAACTTTATGTGGCAGGAAACGTTTTGTGCAGTGAAACGTTCTGAGATAAACCATTCAGAAAAGCAACATTTAGCAAAGAAACATTCAGTAAAGAACCATTCAGTAAAGAAACATTCACCAAAGAAACATTAGTAAAGAAACGTTAAGTTTGGAAACGTTCAGTAAGTAAACGTTTTGTTAGTCTGAAATGTATAAAAACGTAACTATTGAGAATTATATATTCTGCAGTTGTTCTCTCATCCTTTATTCTAATTTACACTTAATCCTCAATGCTCAGTATTCATGCTAATAGGAAACAGACAGAGCTGTAAACTTTACAATTGTGGATATCTAGATCAATGCTTGATCTCCTCTTTTTCTTAATCTTAAGATTATTTTAATCTTTAGTTTGTATCTTGGAAAGTTTCTAAAATTCAACCAATCAGAGTCACCCCGCTCTATTAGTTGCATGATTCGAGCCAGTACAACATGTCTGTATATGTATTCAGTCGGGCTGTCCAGTCTAGACTACCCAGCATGTCAAAATGTAGCCGGACAAGATCAGAGTGGAGTGGTGTATGCAGAAACCCAAACGACCAATCCGAAGCTGTAAAATTTTAAATTTTGCGCGCCATTTACTGAGAGAATTCTCATTGGTTGGAGTCCAGCAGGGATATTTAAAAGAGAGGATTAAGAAGAAAATAACAAGAGTCCACAGTGAATACAGAGGTTCAGCGATCGGGAATCGGGATTAAAGGAAACAAATTCTAAAGTTTTCAGTTCAGCACTCTTCTGCAAAGGATAAGTCTGAGGATATATGCTTAAATGATACTTAACCTATGTTACCCACAGTCCCATGCCCTAGAAAAAAGGCCTTAAAGAATAGGTATAGGGTTGAAAGTCATGTGCATAGCCCAATTTTTCAAGGCCAGCTCATTGAACAAAAAATTAGATCGATAACTTTAGTTATATATAATGGTTATATAAATGTAAAAAAAAATATTATTTCTTGTTTTAAACAAATGTTAAAGTCTGACACATGTTCCTACGTCTATTTTTCAAAGGATTTTCAAAAAAAATATAGTTTTTAGATTTTTAGCTTTAGTCATAAAAAAGTTTTTTGCTATTTTAGATTTTTTTACATAGACCGGGCTTTTTACCGCCAGCTGTACCCTACCCTATGCAGAAATAAAAATAAGTGATAGTGTCAAAAACGTGAGTGCCAGAGCAAAAAATTAGAGTGGGGAGGGGGTGGGTCCCCAGCTGTTTAGGGTTAACGATTGGATTTGATGTTTTAGGATTGGTGTTTGCCACTGTTCTATTTGTGAAATCGATTAAAAATTACAATACATGAGAATTGAGATTAAGAGACATATTGCTGAGAAGCACTTTCCACCTTACAGAATTATTTGATCTTACTTCTCGTCTTATCTGAGTTTGATGTTAGAAGGAGGACATTTATAAATGATTGTAGAAGTTACAAGCATTAAGTTGACAAATGAACAAACTTGAAGGTCTTGAAGTTTCTTATACTCTCAAAGAAACTAATCCTATTCATAATTTTCTCCAATAGGTAAGTTGCAAGATGGGTTTGGATTGAAAATCCCCTAAAACAAAAGAAATGTACATTCCCGAAAAATCCCCAAATGTAAGTTTTGAAAATCCCCAAAAAGGAATAATAAAAGCATTGTCCTTAGAACACTTTCATTTATACCTCAGAAAATTTGATTGATTTGATTAAATATTAAAATATTCTTTAAATTGAAAGTTTTTTTTAAAAAGGCTCCACCAACAAATACAGGGTTACCCACAAAGGATGAGACTGTAAAGACGATTTGAAACTCATAAAATATGATGATTACAAGGTTAAATCAAATCTTCTTTCTTTAAAATTGTCTTGTAATGGCATATTTATTGACATGGTAACGAAAAAAAACAGTTTACAGGTGTAGAGATATAAATAAATAGACAGTATAAATTTTGTACAATTGTCTCTGAAGTCTCATCCTTTTTGGGTAACCCTGTATAATATTGAAGTGCACTATGTATATTACCAGAATTATTCTCAACATATTCGATTTCTATATTTAGCACAGGGTGTCCCATGAAACATGACAGTTGGTCAATAGTTTTAAATGTTGTCTTCCATACTTGAGTTGGTTGATACCAAAGAGAATAAAGAAAATTACATATGGCAGTCATATTATGGTAAAATTAATTTTAATGTAAAATATATTTTACTTCAAGATTTTTAAAAACTAAATAAACTGCTAAAAGTCTTTAATATCTGATGTGATAAAAGGAAGATGACATTCAAAACTATTCACCAATTGTCATTTTTCTTGAAACATGCACCCTGTTTATTAATTGTATAATTGAGTGCAATTGCATCAGAATTGTTGTTAAATTCGGAATTAAAGAACAGAATCCCATGCATTTGAATTGGTTAACTTTATAATTTTCGCTCAATTTTTTTTTCTTCAATGATCATGTCAAAACTATTATAGTTTGTTGTTTGTTTTACCCTTGGTTCGGAAGTTTTCAAATATAAAATATGTAACGAAAACAATGCTATATAAGTTTATTTAAAATTAACTTTTATGATTCCGGAAAACCCGTTAACCAGATGTGATTTAAAATAACGGCGACTTTCTTTAGTTTTTGCCTTATAATTTCATGAAACTCACAGAAAATAAAAATAAAAATGAATGCGTTTAAAAGGTGTTTAAAAATATTCAAAAAATAAATAATTAAAATCGTTACCAAACGGTAAATACCGCTAACGAACGGAACACTCAGTTCTTAGTGCAGAACAAACCGCTCGCGCTAGTGGAAAAGTTGGTTCTTTCTGTTATTTTAAAAAAAACCGTTAACGAAAAGCTTAAAAATAGTCTGAACATGGCTGCAGACTAATCCATCTATCAAAGAAACATCATATATCTATATAATAAAACAAGACATTCGTATATATATGTTGCCTATAGCCGGGCAAACGGCTGGTCTGATTGGGCTGAAATTTTTTGTGGACACTCATGGGTGGCCGGGAGGTGTTATAGGCTAAAAAAATCGAAATTATTTTTTTTCAACATTTTTTTCACGCCGTGCCCTTCAGCTAGCATATTATACTGGACACAAAAGCTTATACTCCATCACAGATAGGAATGTATTGATGTATTGATGTAAAAAGCACTTAATATGAAGTAATAATTTACACATGATTGATCTCAGCATAATCTTTTAGATCTTCAGATTGGCTCCTAGTTATGCTATACATAGAACATCTATATATGTAATCAATTAAATCAGTCCAGGGGTTTATGAGTTATATTCGGACGTACACAAACAAATTTAAAAAACAAACAAACAAACAAACAAATAAACAAACAAACATGAAGACACACAGAGATTACTTATTTGTGTATGATCTAGCTAGGAAATACAGCTTTGCCGGAAAAATCAATTTTCGTTATAAAAGTTAACAATGTCTAAACTGCAAGTTAAAATACATTTCGCATTTTTTTCATATTTCGTTCGATCGAAAAAATGCGAAATTTTCGCGAAATAAGAGATGGGAAAAACGCGATAATTTCGCAAATCAAATATTGCATATTTGGTAGAAATATTTTTTTAAATCATAAATTTTAACTTTTACCAACAAAAACATTTTTTTAAAGTATTATTTATTAGAGGATGGGTTAAATTCAAAATTCAAAATTCAAATATAGAGTTTTAATGTTTCCTTGAAAAGACTTTATAATAGTGTATGCTCACTGTGCCTGAAATTTAAATGTCTAGAAGTTTATTTTCGAACCATTTCCTCAAACTGTATGTTCGCAGGCTGTCACACAAATTCCCATTTTAACCATGAACGAACNACACCTTACTTCTATTCTATTTGAACACCCTGGTCCGCACACCTTATTCTCTTTGGATAACCTAGTCCACCCACCTAGTTCTATTATCTTTGGAAACCCTTGTCCATCCACCTTATTTCTATTCTCTTTGGAAACCCTGGTCCACCCACTTTACTTCTATTTTCTTTGGAAACCCTTGTCCACCCACCTCAGTTCTATCCTCCTTGGAAATTGTGTAATTACACAGGGACAAATACAAAAAATAGAGGGAGGGGGGGATGTTAAAAGTAATGTCTAATGCGGGAGGTGGGGAAGAGGGGCGGGGGTTTGATAATCGAGTGCATGGGAAATTACATAGAAAAGCTACTCAAGATTCTCTTCTTTATTTCACAACTAAATAAGAATAATTTATTTACAGAAATATAACAAATGCAAATTATAATCATAACGATCGTGAATGACTCTCTTTTAAAAACATTGCTTTTTTCAATTTTTTTTCAAGATTATTTGTTTTATTTGTTTACAAATACAAATTAATTAAAATGCGTTTTTAAATTTTTGGCAGTCAATTGTTAATGATAGTTTTAATGAAAAAATCAGTGCACACTAAAATATTAGAGTTTAAGGAAGTTGAATTTCATAAGACGTAGGACTGGAATTCATATTTCTTAATTTTAATTTTCTTTTATTGAAGAGCTATTTAGATAAACCAAAGTATTTAATTTTTCATACTAGTGCTAAAAAATTAAAACTAGAGAAGCTACGAAGTCACAAAGTCGTACTAGCAATACCACATACATTGTACCCTCTCCTTCTATATAGTTTGCATGGGGGGGGGG